CAGGCGTTGGCAGTTTTAACACCTCATGGGATTTGGAATGTAGAGTTCTACTTTACATTTGTACCAAGCTACATCAACAGTTTGCGGTAGCCGATAGCGATCAAAAGTCAAAATAATTCTTCCTGTATGTGAGCGGGTTTTTCCATCGTCATTTGATTTAATGAATTTGTAGACTTCAGTCACTCGTTGACTGCCCATTTCGCATATACTACGCCTTTAACCGAGTTCAGTTTGTCATGCAGTTTAGCGGATATAGCACATAAATTAGCTAATGATCTTGATTTTATCAGCTTTTCGGTTGCACTCAGGTTCCCAGCGAGGACAAGAAAATTTCCACCGCGTAAAATCCGTATAGAGTCTATATATGTTGTAATAGCGAAAGGGCTGATTTGCGAAATTGTTATGGGGGGATCAGTTGGAGAAATCACAACATATTTTTTTCAATAGGAATGATGCTACACAGGAAAGTCGGAATATATATAAAAATATAGATATATAAAGATTTATATATAAAGATACAGATATAAATAAAGTTAACTTTATAAAACTTAAAAAAATATTTCAGTATCACTATACAGCCTATGTTTATTTATTTGGGAGTATTAAGGAAAGCGTTTAACTCAAAAGTATTTATGGACAATCGTTAGAGTCTTGATATAGGCCATCAATCTCATAATTGCCACCAGATGCAAAGTGCTGTTTTGTTTGTGTTTAGAGCAGATTCATGCATATTTAGCAACCTCTATGATTGACAATATGATCTTTTAAATAATTGATGCAGCGTTCTGCAAGATTATCTTTTTTATATTCAGAAGTAAAGTTGTGTGGCTTCCTACGATAGGTCTTGGTGTGACCAAAAAGTTGGAGAAAAATGGGGTTGTTTTTCTACTGTGACCGTTCGTAACATTGCGTACTTGATGCCCTAACACAGTCAATTCTGATATATTATCACTGGTACATGTAGAATGGTGCAAATCTTTTATCACTGCACACACGCTATTGTTTCATTTGAAACATACGAAAACGTATCTTACGGCAATCCAAATAGTTGGCTGGTTTTCTATCAATGAATCAATTGTCTTTATCATAAGCCTGAACCGATTGTCTTTTAGACGTTTACATTAAACTGTTCTTTTAGTGAAATATTAGCAATACTTTGATCGCTTTAATTATATGCACTACATCTGGGAGGTGGTAATTTCCGTTTCGTTTATGTTCCGCCTTTTTTTCTCTTTTTTTAATAAACTTCTTCATCATCATTGACAATCTGCAAAACTACAAATTGGTTGCTGATACCTGGTTCAACAGCAGTAATGTTTGCCTTACGCTCTATAGCTTCTACCTTGTAAGATCCCGTTGTTTAAGTTTTCAAACTGCGGAGTAATTACGTACGCAGGTGACAATGAAGTATATGACACTCACCAATAACATTTAATCATGTAGGCAAATTTGCTGGTGATTGTCATCAAATTGTTGTCTACGGGAGCAATTTTGTATTAGTGTATTGAGTATAAACCAAACAAAGTTACCACAAATATCTTTTTTAAAGTTGCGTTTATAGAAAAACAGCTCTAATTACATATACATTATATAAAAAGTAGTTTTTAACAACAGTTTATATATATATATTGTATAAACAGCTGTTAGAAAACGAATTATTTTTATTTTGAAAATTAAGCTGTGTGCCACATTAAATTTGTGAGTTTCTTATAAATCGATGATGATTATTTTAACGTTAAAATTCATTTACCATTTTATGGCGTAGTACAAATTCTGCATCATTTCCATTTCGCATGTTTTTTATGATTTATTATACGTAATTTGCTTACACAAAACAAACAAACATCTACTTGCTCTCATTTTTTAGACCTTGAACAAGCACTCTTTTTTCGTATATTAGTCGATTAGATTATTAGAAATCGAAATATAAGCACTATTAATTGTTAATAATGCGCGGAGCACTAACGCAAATTTGCTCAGAATGAGTAGTAGCAAAGAAATATATCAAAAATCGCAAGTATAAGCTCAAATTTTGGGCACCGTAATAATGTTCTCTTTTCTCATTACACGCTGATCCTGCGGATGCTGTAGTGATAATGCTTTCCTCTTTATAGTAAAACCTCTACAAAAGTATTTTCAAGAGTTACAAAAGCGCTTCTTTTGCCGATGGAAAAACTAAAAAAAAATTCCAATAAGTGAATTATGGCTACACAATCTTTTTAGGTATCACAGTACATAGCAACATCGGTTGGCACTTACACCTCCGCACATTTTCCAAGACCCTGAAAATTAACAATTGGGGAATATAAAAATAGAATTGAACCAAGCAATATCCCCATACTCGAAATTCCGAAAACTGTAACACCGAAGGGGAGGTCAATGCATGCAATATCTAATAACTTGCGTGATCTCCCTGGGATGTTCAACATCGCAAACAGCGACAACAACAAACAATTAAAATAAGGCTTAGAAGAAAAAAAGCAAGAAAAGCAAATGTAAAAAGTAACAAAATGTGTCCCCAAATTCAGCTTAGCCAAGTAAAATTGGCATTCACTAACCTCTTACTTCAATCTCTCTCTAAGGTAGAGCACTGTTCAGACAAACATGAGTATATAAAACTCTAACTGTTGTCTTTTTGAATCGAAATTTACGTAACATGTTAGAAGCAAAAATAACTCAACATATATATATCGTGGTTTTGCCATTTGTAAATTTATTCAGCTAATTCAAATTAACTATTAATTTGTTATGAACCAATCACGAAAAGCTTCCCATGCACTAATCAAGATGGAGCAGAAATTAATGAGAACGGTAGTTAAGCTCCGCAAAAAAGAGACAACAAAGGAAAAACTTATGGAAATATACGATTTGAAGATAACCTTCTTTGAAGTAGTTACGAACGTAAAAAGCACGCAAGTAACCGACTTGAATGCTATATAACTATACACATAAGTTATGAATAACTAAGAAATTCCAGATTACCTCAATCACAAATCCAAGAAGTCAATAATTAAGTACAAAAATAAGTCGACGACATGATAGTAAAACGACCCCTAATAAATTACATTGTCTTATACCAAACAAGAAAAGTACAAGAGAAAATGCAATGACTCGATAATATGGAGACTTGAAGTGGATTCTAGGAAATTAATTGATATTACAAATTTCTTCTAACTGGACTAGAGAATGCACTTGACAGACTGGAGAGAGCTAGGTATTTCTCCATACTGGATATGACAAGCTCTTTTCAGCAAATAGAAAAAGACAAAAATTCTCGGCTTTTACCTTAAAAGAAAACAATTTGAGTGATTAGTCTCAAATATACAGGTATATTTACATTCAGAACCGGTAGGAAATACCATTATTTTCAATAATGATACTGTGTATGTGTATTATTTCAAGCTTGCAATATACGTATGTTTAACATTCAATTTAAAAAAGTTTCTGTGCTGGAAAACGTTGTATTGTGCGCTTGAATTGAATACTAAGTTTACGGCAGCGGTCAATTTATTGGGTTTTCGATTTGAAGCTTAAAAATTCCGCATAAGAAAAGATATGCTATTAGATGTTATATACTGGTATTTAATGCAAGAAATAAACACGTCTGCTCTTTTCTCTGGGATGTCAAAATGTACTCCTCTTTTTACGCAAGCAAATCTCTTTTTAAGATGGGAAGCTGAAATTTGTCGTGAGCATTCCTTAATCGCTTAGGAATATGAGGTTAAAAACGAACGTGATCTGTTTATATACAAGCCTATCTGTAGAAGAAAGAAAAACCATATCGGAAAACAATACTTTTTCAAATTGTTCTCTATAATTTTCGATTTCGAAAATTTATTTCTAAAAACCATAGGTGTTCAAGAATTGGTGCGTTTATTAAGTTTTCTTGGAATGTCTTAAAAGCATTTTGCCTTTTTAGTATTGAGCATTGAGGCACTTCGTAATTTTTGCAAAATACTTAATGAACCTTGTAACGTCCGCGAACAAATTTAAGGCAGGGTATCTGTCGGTTTGCTTTTGCCAAACATGTCGTGATAACGGCATGCCGTTATTCGACATCGCATGATATGCAAAATAGCCGCTAGCCGCTACGTATGCAAAACCAGAAGAGAGAGAGAAACAAGAATTTTGGTGGTGTTTTTTTTGCTTTTCGTAGACTTGAGCGGGGTACTTTGACAAGTAAGCAACAGCGGTCGAAATCAAAAAAGCAAAAGGATTTTGATAAATTTTTTTGGAGTGAGACTAAAAAAAAATGCGAGAGTTGTTGCTATGATGGTTTTTTGGACAAGTGTAGTGCAAAATAAAAAGTTAAATAGAGTAATTTAATTTAAAAAGAAATTCGTTCCCCGCCCCTTTAAACGAGACCAAAAAGAAAATTTAGTAAAAAAAAGATTGTCAAAGGAGGAGTTTGCGAGTTTGTGGTGCTAGTGGTGGCTGAATAAATGAGCAAAAAAAATGTAAGATGTGCCTTTTCTGATTCAAAAATATGCACAAAGAAAACAAGAGGCAAAGAAAAAAACAAAAGGAGGTAAAAGGAACAGAAAAGAAAAAAAGGAAAAAACTAAACTCTACTATAGCCATTTAAATATTTCCAAAATATGAATAGAAACATTTTGCACATGATTCCTCGGAATTTTTAGTCGAACATTATTATGAGTTTTGTGTCTAATTGCATAGTTTCCTTATAATGAATAGACAACAACAACAACAAGAAGAAAGAAGTCATTTAGTAAAAAGAAAAGTGAAAGAAAAGAAAAATAAAGAAGAAAAAAGTAATACGTTCAAGAACAACTAAACTAATGTACCAAAAGAAAAAGCAATCCGTTAACA